TGGGGAATTCTGGGAGTTGAAGTCCACACGTCTTAAAATGGCCAAGGTTGAGAAACACTGTTCTGAACACAGGGCACGCTGACTTTTCTTTAAGCTACAGTCCTTCTCCTGACACTTGTAATAGTTTGACTCTTCACCCCCTTGGCTCACCCCATCTCTTCCAACCTCCTTGGCATCCTTTAAACCTATGGGATTGAAACTCCCATCCTTCCCAGGGCACGTCAGCCTGCTAATATGGGAACTGTAGTCCAAGACAGTGAGAAAACCCTGGTCTTTTCTGGTCGGTAGCCGCTGCTGAGTCTTTGGACAGAGAGAAGGGGCTTTTTCCACATCTGGATTCTTTGCAAATGGGACTATCCCTAGGTAAACTGGATGTTCCGAGACTGAATCCTGGTTTTTTCTGCTCCAAGGGACGACGTTGGCATGCAGGCAAGGGGAAGGATAACCCACCGTGCTGGGGAACCCACCAGAAGTGAGGCCCACGCTGTGCCGGTCGTCTTCCAAACGTTGGATGCGCTCCAACAGGCGTTCCTCAAGGCTGTCGAACAGCAGCAGTTTCTCACTCTAAGGGAGAAGCAGATGGACAATCTGCAAAATGTACTTCAACCTTTTGCTTTAACTGATCCTATGCCTGGCAAACCCTCAAAGCTAATTTAATGAGGACTAGGCCCCTGGGTTTCTTTTTAACTTCTGCTCGCCAACTCATGCACCTTCCAATCAACAGCAGGGATCAAGAATGGCCACGGTCGCAGGATTCAGTTAGAGATGGGTTACAACGGTCGGAAAAAATGGGATTGGATCTGGGTTCGAGTCCCGATGTGACCATGTTGTTCACGGGCTGACATGGAGACTTTCACTATGTCTCAGGCCAACCGACCTCACAAGGACAAAAGTGAAGGGCGACTCTAAGTATGTTGCCTTGGCTTCCTCAGAGGAAGGCCAGGACGTGAACGCCAAAAAGGCAAGATTATCAGTTGGCCATGGATGGAGTTATTCATTGAAAAACTGCACTGGCTGCCAAGGAATTTAAGAGGGTGCGTGCAGTACTATTTCCATTTTGTCCTCACAATAACCCTGTGAGGTAGACTGGGAAGGGAAGGGAAGGGAAGGGAAGGGAAGGGAAGGGAAGGGAAGGGAAGGGAAGGGAAGGGAAGGGA